GAGCACAAGTCTTATGAGGAGCGGCTGAGGGAGCTGGGGTTGTTTAGCCTGGAGAAAAGGAGGCTGAGGGGAGACCTTATTGCACTCTACAACTACCTGAAGGGAGGCTGTAGCGAGGTGGGTGTCGGTCTCTTCTCCCAAGTAACTGGCGATAGGACGAGAGGAAATGGCCTCAAGTTGCGCCAGGGGAGGTTTAGATTGGATGTGAGGAAAAATTCAGTCATTTACAACATATAACTGTGCAGCTGCTTGTTGTAATTCACAACCTACATGAAGAAACCTACATATAAGAGTAGTACTAACCTACATAAGAGTAGTTAAACATTGGAACAGGCTGCCCAGGGAAGCGGGTGAGTCACCATCCCTGGAAGTATTTAAAAGACGTGTAGATGAGGCGCTTAGGGACATGGTTTGGTGGGCATGGTGGTGTTGGGTTGACGGTTGGACTCGATGATCTTAGAGGTCTCTTCCAACCTTAATGATTCTATGATTCTGTTATTTTACAGCTGACAAGTTGAGCACGTGAATTTTAGAAGGTAGTACTTGATTCTCTTGGAGCTTCCTTTTTACTCTCCTGGCCTTCACTTCTCTTGTGTGCTTTGCTTTCCTCAGTTGGTCCAAGCCAAACTCTCTTTCTCCTAATTACTGGGACTGATAATGCTAAAATATGGAGTGTTCAGAAGAACTTTGAAGTACATTTAATGGCCTCGCTTACCACATATCTTGAGTATCGTGAAATCTTGCTCATGACTCATGCCCAGTTAGATCTCTACCTTCAAGATCTTTATACTGAAGAGGCTGCTGTGAAATAGGACATAGTCATCCTGTGGATACACATTGTAGACAGCATGATGGATATATTAACAGTTCAAGCTATTAGATACAGTGACTATTCTGCACTAGACTTTGACTCATGAAGGACAAGGGAAATTATAAGAACCTGGAATGCAATTTTGGTTTAGCATCAGGTTTGCAAGCACAATATAGAAGCAAAAGGTGAGGCTTACTTGATAATGCAAGGATTTCATTTCCGATTATTGCTGATAAGAGGAGGATGCCTCAAAGGTAGGTAAGATAGATGCTGGCTGTTACTTCAAGGTCTGCCTCTCCCACAGGTCACTGTCCCACTATCATTACACTAGGGCTTACGTACTCTCCTGGAACCTTGTGTGTTTTCAGTTCTTCAGGGATCAGCTGCTCATCCATGGTCACACAACGAATGCTTCAGAGTTTTTTTTTGAGCCCTTCTTGTCCAGCAACCAAATTCATTCAGCCTTACAGAGAAACAAAATTGGAGCTGACAGTAGATTTGTCGTGTGGTTTTCTATGTACAAGCAAATATGTGCAGCCTGTGTAGCTGCATGCCCATGATCACACAACGCAAGGAGTCCAGCAGCCTAAATTCAAAGAGTATGTAAATACATACAGCAGCCTAAATTCAAAGAGTATTAAATACATACAGAAGCTCTGTATGTATTTAATAATTTCTTTTTTTATATTGTATCATGCATCTTAACCAGTTTCTATCCAATGGAAGTCACACATTTTCTAATTGGCTAGGTACTTCATTTATATGCTAAGCACATATACAAGTGGCTGTCATTAGCAGCACCATGTGTTCTGTCCACGTTACAGATGTTTCTCAAAGCAGTATTTGATCACTTCTTTGTGCGTGCAACCTCTTCCATCTGCTACCACTGATATCTTGAGTAGACCCTTGTTAGGTTTTTGATGGAAAACAGACATCTTGCCCATTAGTCTGTTACTCAGTTGCTGGTTAGTCAAATTCTCAGGCTCCTTATTTTGTTGCACAATAGTTAGACTTCAGGTTTCTCAAGCCTTCATAGCATTGCTCTAGCTTGCACTTGTTAACCACTTTCCGCTGTAGTAACTATGATAATAGGAGGGCTGCAAGACTGTTCTGGTCCAATTTGGAGCAAGGCAGCCTTCTTTTGGATGCTGTTAGTGAGACCTTAAACCCTGCTAAGCCTGTTAAAGACAGCCAGGATCCACAGCAGTTAGAACATCAACAGTAAACAAGAACTTAGGAATTATGATATCATTTCACCTTGCATTCAGTTTAAGGTTGAAGGAGCCACCATCAATTTTATAGTGAACGTGTGTTTTCTGTCATAGCCTAAAAAAGCTGAGGCAAAGAACAGAAGAGTGAAATGAATTGGTGCCAAGTATAAAGGCCCCGTGTGAGTCCACTCGTGGCAAGGAATTTCTTTACATATTTTCTATTACATAGGCTTTACCATTCTCCAGAAAAGGAGAAAATATGGTTACAGAGTCTGTGAGGATGGGATAGTCTGCTCAGGATCTTTGAGACCTACTCAGCTGACAAGCTCATGCTCTACTTGAATCAAGTAGAGATGCTAGCACTACTCAAGTTTTTTCTGAATTAGTCTAGGTATGAATATCATATCAGTGATTCTGCAGCCAGTTGGAACCTTTTTAAAATAAAAACATAGGGGTTATCAAAGCAGTAATTGCACAAAAAAAATCCAATGTCCTTTTCTTCAGTACTTTAAAGTAGCTTTACAAAATAGCTTCTTACAAAAGAACTTTGATTTAAAATATTTATCAAGAACATCCTGGTTTTAGCTGTTACGCTCCTGTCTGACACTACCCTGTGCCTTTGCTGCTGGTGTCTGTTGTACACAATCTGTTGTATGACAGAGGTGGTGTATGACTCCCTTTGGAGTGGATGAGTGAGATAATAATGTTATTGACTCCCTTGAATAGTGTGGAAAGGTGTTTCAATGCCTAAATCCTGATTTTTGTCTCTTTTTTTTTTCTTTTCCTCCTTAGAGCTCCTACATGGACATTATAATTTCTTAAACTTATGTTCTCAGTAAAAATATTGAGTATTTAGCAATATTCTTAGAAGATGAAAAGAATTTACCTAGTAAGATCTCTGTCCTGCAGCATCTTCTCGTGAACTCTGTTGCCATACTGACTTCTGCACTACACTGAAGCATACTTTCAGAAAGATCACATTTGATATTGTTTTGAATTGAGCATGAGAATAATACTCCTTTTGTTCTTCTCCTCTTAAATAAGCATTCTGCAGGGTTATTGGATTAGTAAATTCTGATATATCTTTACAATCCAGTGATCAAAACCTTCAGCAGACATTTGGAAATACACAATTACATATACAATATATGTATAGAATTTGTCATTGTTGATACACAGATATATCTCTTGATGATGAAAGACACTTTCGTTTACTGTTGTTTGTTAACTTCCTGGTAAGAACCTTTAAATGTTAGAATCTTGAAGGTTGTCAAAAATATTTCAGTTTGATTCCTAATTAGAGCCTATCGTATAATTCTCTTTAAAAAACAATATGGCCAAGCTGAGTTATTTTTACCGTCCCTGTCCACTGCGTTCTACATGTATTATATCTAAATTGAATAAGGAGGTCTGATGTTGTAAGTCACCCCCTTCTTACCTACCACATGCAGGACTTTTCCCTCTAAACTTACTGTTACCAAGTTATCTCCGTGTTTTAGCATTCAGAAGGAATGGGTGAAAGGAGAGAGATGAAGTGAAAGTGCCTTGGAGTGGAAACTTCACAATGGATTTCTTAGTCTTAAAACTGAACAAGATGATGTTTACAGACGATGAGGGTCTTTTAATGAATATTCTCATCCCCAGTAGAGCAAAGGCCTTGAGAGGCTTTAGTAAGCTAGACTGCGAGACAATAAGTTACGTTCAGCATTGACAAATGCAAAGTAACCTGCTGTGGAAAGAATAATTAATTTTACACCTATCTCACAGGATTCTAAGTGGAATTGCATCAGAAGAATTGCATATATTAGAATATGGTGTGGACATTAGGGAAAACAAAATTTTAGAACACAAGTAATAGGGAAAATTATGGAAGACTACATTGCTACTGTTTTATTGGTAGAGCTTGATTTGAAATTCTGAGGGCAGTTCTTATTATTCTGTATAAAACCATACCAGAAGGGTCTTAATGGCATGTGAAAGAATGCTGAAGAGCATAGGAAAACTTTCATAAAGATAGACTGAACTTGGCTTTGAAAAGAGAAATAAAAGGAAACCTAATAAAAAAACTCCAGTGCTTTGTGTCAAAGAAGTACAAAGACAAACAGAATACAGGAATGGGGGATACTTGGTGAAACTCATAGATAAAAGAAAATTCATACTGATGAAATAATTTTTCATGCTATATGTAATTAGATTGGGATATTCGCCACGAGGTAACACTGGAGTCTCAAAGACATTAGCTTCCTATTCCTTTTACACTCTGTTACTAAATATCAAGTATTTTAAAGGCATGTAAATAATAGTGTTTCTCCATGTGTTTATGTGCAAAGAAAAATAGTTTCTTGAGGATGACAAAGGGCTACTGGACAGTCAAAAGACCACTCACTAATATTTCAAGTGTGGAAGTACTTTCTCAGTATCCATGGGTTTTAACTACTGTTTGCTAAGGCTGTTACAAAACCGTAACCACCAAAATGGTACAAAACATTTTGTATAATTTACCATAGTGCTGTGACAGAATGAGTATGAATTAGAAATACACTTATCTTCTCCAAAAAGCTACTAAACAATTTACTTGAAATAATCACAACTTTCTCTGAAAACTTTTAAGTTTTCTGCTTTTCAAAATCCAAATTACTACTGTAGCACAAAGAAGAACGTGAAGCGTGCTTTACAGATACTGCATACGGAGAAATACTTGTCTTCTGACCTCCATTAAGCTGTCTGGAAAACAGTGAGCAATAAGCAAACCTCCCTTTCCCTTTTTCCAGCCTTTCCACACCCCCTCCTATTCCTTTCCCCTGCATACATGCACCGTGCTGGAAATAGCGTGAAGCATAACAAACTCGTAGCCATCATGAAGAATGGGTATAATGATAAAAATAATACGGCAATCTATTTTCATTTGGGGAATTTATGACAGTTGGCTTGACACAAGCTGGTGGTAAAAGTGCACTTTTATGGGAGAAACTTGAAAAATCCCTCATATTTGAAATACATTATATATGATTCTTTTTTTTTAATGTTGTTGATTTGTATTTATCTGTATTTGTAATTGATTTGTATGTTTTTAGGAGCCCAGGCTTGTGTTCTTGTGTTTTCTACAACTGACAGAGAGTCCTTCAGAGCAATCCCTACCTGGAAGGAGAAAGTTGTGACTGAAGTTGGGGACATTCCCACAGTTCTTGTGCAAAATAAGATTGATCTTCTTGATGACTCTTGTATAAAGAAGTAGGAGTTTTATCTTACTGTTTTTAAAGAACAATATATGCCCCCTGTATACACACGTTAAAAAAAAAAAAAAATCTATGGGAGTTTCTGGTGAAGACTTATGATATCTAGGTTGTAAAACCTATGCCCTGCATCAAAACGTGCCCTAGAAGCACAGGTGACAGGTATTGCTGCATGAGTGTAGTTACTTGGGCAGATGTGCTTGCCAAGCTAGGAGATTTCTGTTTGCTTCATGCTGCCTTCTGAAGTGTCAGCCAAAAAATGGAGGAATAGCATGAAGAGTTTGGTTGTGTCATGATATGATTCTCTCAGAAATTCTAAAACTAAATTTTCTTTCCTGTTAAAATTTAAAGTTATTGTTAAACTGTGCTGCGCACCAGTGAAGGTACATTGTCTAGTTTGCTAGTGAATGCTTGCTAAAATGATGAAGTAGTATTAAACTGGTTGTTTGAAAAAGCATCTTAATATTCTTTGCTTCGCTTTTCTTTAGTTTGTTTTTATTGCTCTTTTTTATCAAAACATTATAACTCTATAGAAATACATATCTGTTAATATTCTCAAACTGCATGGTGCTGATGCTTCTTCACAATATTTTTCTTTACAGATTTTATCATTCTGCCTTTGTATGTATGACCAATTTCATTCTTGCCATAAAATCAGCTTAACAAATGCTGACTTTTATTTACCACAGCATATCATGTAGAAAATATTGCATGATGAAGTTGATCATTCTCCACTTCTTTATTTCTGCCATCTTCCTGAGACATTTAAATTATTTCTTCTTTTTGTTGTTTCCTGCACTGGCTTTCTTTGTTCTCTGTTTGCTATCATTGATGGCATAAATCAGCTTCTACTCCCTCTGCAAAGAATACTGAGGATTTTTCAAAGGAAAAGCAAAATTGCATTTGAACTCCTCCTTTACTCATGGTATGTCACAGGTTTTGCTCTCAGAATACTCCATCTGCCTCAGTAACTTCATCTTTCTGATGACGTGATTTGCCTTGGTGAAATTTTCATAAGTTTTGTCAGCTTTTCCTTGAAATTTAGCACAAGTTCTCTTTCACTTCACAGAAAAAAAGTAGTTCTTGATTTCATCTCCGCTACTGCTTTATTAAAATATACTTAAGGATTACTTTTTTGTTGCTGTTTTGACTTTGCAGTGGTAATTGTTCTGATTCTAGTGCTGTTGATTACAGCCTCCTTTTTGGTTTCACTGACACCTGTCTTCGAACCCTTGGGAAATTTTAGTTAATGAAGTCAATAAATACTGAAAAGCAATTACTTTTGGTCATAAAGGAACTGCATGTAAAATACCTTCTTGTTATAGTGGAGATATTGTAAGGAAATTAAGGGTCAGGTATTTTTTGACTGAGTTTCTTAACCCAGCTTGCCACGTTTAACTTACCACGAAGCATTTGGTCTGTTAAGAATAAATGCTGACAAATAATACGAATTAGTATTTACAAAGTCTTCTTCTGTTGTGCAGTGAAGAGGCAGAAGCACTGGCAAAAAAGCTAAAACTGAGGTTCTACCGAGCATCTGTGAAGGAAGACCTAAATGTAACTGAAGGTACGAGGTACAGCAGAGTAGGTGTCTGTCCTGCCCGCTGCTGTATAGCACTGTACGCCTCTCCTAGTTTGGAGCTGATCTGTTACTTCCCATGTTGTTGCATGCTGTTGGCAATCCTTTTTATATTTCTTAGCAGCACACTTTAAACATAGCTAGAATTTCTTGATATTAGTGTGTTAGGCCCATTTCTTTGTGTGCATCTTTCTCTTCTATAAACAGTGCATAGCTTCAATATTTAGAAGGCAAATGTGTTAAGGCTGCTTAGTTCTGATGACTGTCAGTAAGCACTGAGCTTTTAAAAAAATGATATGTAGAAGTTCAATTATTACAATATACAAGTGGTTGAACAGATTATTTTGTAGTTAATAAATATTTGCTATAAGCAATTATTTCATAGTTTAGTTACATTTAAATAAAGTACAGTAAAAGGTTGGATCTCTTGCAGCCTTTTGTCTACTGATGATATTTTACTAGTTCCCAAGTATCACTTTTTAATGTATATATTTAATTTCATAAGAGTACTGTTACAAAATTCAGTCACTATCTTTTGTGGGGTAGGTTTGAACAATCGTGAATTATAGTCTCTGATAATTTATGTTTTGTTTAATCAGGCAAACTTAATAGTAAACTAATTGTTTCTCCCCTGTTAACGTCATTCACCTTGGAAAAAACATATAGATGAGAAAATGTAAAATGTTTCTGTATCATCTTTACATGAGTTATTAATTACAAATGTAAATAATCTTAACATATCTAGGTTCTGAAAATTCTCCTACAGTTGTAGATTTTTTTTCAGAATCCTAGGTAGACTTTCTATATCCCAATACAAATGAGGGTAGCACTAGTTAATTAGAAAAATGTTGCTGCCAAGTTTTATTAATAGTCTTGCTTTACATGACTGCTGTTATTCTAAGGCTTCTTGCAAAAAACATACATATTAAATTCCTACATAATTTTAAAAAGTTCCAAGTTGCATGAATTGGAACATTTGGCAATATGTACGTGCCAGCTTTGTTACAGGAGTATTGAGATGTTTCTATCTGCTGTGTAGGACTCTAGTACTGCAAACTGTAAGACCTGGGTAGACATTGGATTGATCTGGATTCTGCTCAGGTACACAGGCCTGCCGAGAAAGAACCACGTAACCAGATTGTGCTAAACCTGTGGTGTCGAATGTGGTTTTGTCACCACGCAGAATTTTGATACGAAGGTATTATTATTGACACAAAGATTATTTTTAAGCGTGCTCTGATGTACCTTTTTTCTTTTTAACATTCCAGTTTTTAAGTACTTGGCTGATAAATATCTTCAAAGGCTCAAGCAACAAACAGCTGAAGATCCAGAACTAGTACATACAAGCAGTAACAAGATTGGTATGTATACTGTAATAAAAAACCAGAAGATAGTATTTTGTGCCATCAAAGCTTATGGTCTCATCTGTTTCCTTATGGAGTTAATACAAGGTGAATCAGGGTCTAATTATTACCTTCCTATCTTAGGATATTGTCTCCTTCTGTAAAATAACTTTGTGATGCTGAAGTTACAAGATTGTCAAACTGATGTACTAAAGTTTCTAGCTAATGTTTGGCAAGTGCCCTTTTATTAAATTTGTTTAAACAAACATTGTGTAAGGACTTGAGAAAGGATGCTTGTTGGGTTTTTGGATGTAATTAGTATTAGTGCTACTCATCTTGGTGCAGATTTACAAGAGACTCACGGTGAAAGAATCTGGCGTGTAATCAGAAGGTCTTTGTAAACTGCCTTTTGTAAAGGAACACTGAACTTCTGTAGTCCTTCTTTAAAGCATTTCTGAGTCAGTTCATTTATTTTCCTTGAAGCACTCCCTTTTTATTCAGGCTTTTTCCTTACCTTTATCTCAGCAAATTTCTAACTTCAAAATTGTCATGTTTTTCTTTTATTATATTGCTCAACTAACCGTAACTTTGTTACCATGCAATTAGTAGCATACACATATGCGGATGAGTTCATCTGCTGGCCTTCAATTACATGGATGTATACCAGCTTTAAATACTGCCTGGCTAGTAATTCCAACTGGCTCTAGTTCAAATTTAACTGCAAAATTGACCCAGAAATAGATAAAGCCTTTAAAAACTAGAGTATGCGTTTGATGTGCACTGCTATGCCTTAGTAAGTACTGTGTCTTAAGTGTTAATGTATTATGCTGCAGGAAATAAATACAAATACTTTCCTTGTCTTTAAATTCTGTAGGTGTTTTTAATACAGCTGGTGGAAGTCACTCCAACCAAAATTCTAGCACTCTTAATGGTGGAGATGTCATCAACCTTAGACCAAACAAGCAGAGGACCAAGAAAAACAGAAGTCCTTTTAGCAACTGCAGCATACCTTAGACCACTTTTGGAGGAAGAAAAACCAAGCCGGTGAATTGGATGAAGTTGTGCAACTGAGTACAGAATAAAGCCAGCTGTAGAGGTATTTTTACCAGTGCTTTAGCAAATCTTGTGCCTATGGGATCCTTGATAGAGGGTGGATTTATATAAACTTGCTGATGCAGTGTTTTTTGGTGTGTAGAGTGAGACACCTGGTGGCAAAACACAGAACCGTGGCTGCCCCTGTGCACTTTGTAAAAATTAGACAAGCTTCTCCTTTTTCAAGGAATTATTTACAGAGCTATGAACTAGGTATTGCTGAATTGCAAAGCACATTTAACGTAAGGATAATACTTACAAATATAGGTACAGACCATAACGCTATGGCCCAAGGTAAAGTAGCAACCTTGCAACTAAATTTCAAAGAAAATGATAGAATTGGTTAGTCAGGACACTAAGAAGATAAAGGAAGAGCAAAAAGAAAACACTACGTTTTATGCCTGAATATATTAATATGGATTCTGGCAGTTCTGTTGGTGCAATGTACTTTTATATATATATTTTTTCATATATATATATATGAGTGCTAAGGTGTATATATATAAACTTTTGGTATGAATATTTAGGCTAAATTCCAGCATATACATTACTTGGAGATCAGCTAATGATCATAAAATAGCATCTTCCAAAAAAAATTTTCCTTTAAAAATGTTGCATTTCAGATGAGGCTTTCCCAGCTGCCACTGTGTACGTTTAACTTGCTATACTTTGGGCCTAAAAGCTTAGATTTAAAAATGTATGGTGCCAAAAATGCTCCTTCTTTTTACTTAATGCTGTGCTACAGATGTTTTTGTAAGTTTGTTTTTCTCAGTCTTAACAGGTTGAACAAATAACACAGTCTTTTGACACTAATAGCTATTCAGAAGGAACATATAATATAATCGTATTCCTGTTCAGATTTGATTGTTGTATCCTGTGTTGTCTATGAAAGAGGAACTTGCAAAGTGGTATCACAAAGTATTTATCTTCTTTGGAAAAACTTTTCATAGATACCATAAACTAAGTTACGGAGGATCCAAAAAATTGCAGCTGATGGCTGAATTACATTAATGAGACGTTCTTGAATGTTGTCTCAGATTCCAAATTAGCTGCTGGTTGCAGAAAATCTAATTCTGCAAGATCAGAGACATGGCAAAAATGTTTCAAAGTGCTTAAGTAATTTTACAGAATTGATTTAGATGTTTAGGAGCCCAAACCTAAATTTAAGTTATTTGGGCTTAGGCCCCTAAATCATTAAGGTGCTTTTCAAAACGCTAAGCAAGATATCTTCTCTTTACCAAAAATAAACACTTTTTAATCCTCTTCAAGAGCATGCATGCCTTTTAAAAAAATACCCATTTTGTTTACATGGTTTTGTATGGTATGATATAATTTTATCTTTCTAGGATTTCTACAACAAACCTGCCGGTGACAAATGCAAAATATGCTGCTTGAAAAAATTCAGAGTTTTAATAGTTTTTTAAATGGTGTATGAGAATGAAAATGAGTTGAGTGATGCTGTATGTTTTTGGAGGAAGGACTTTTCACTGTGTGAATTCATGTAGGAAGCTTGACTTACTTTGTTTCTAAGTCAATGAGTATGAAAACTGAAATGTACTCTTTTTCCCCACTGTCTGCAGGGAGAGAAGTGGGTGGCAAGTTATGCACAAACACTAAAGATCTCTGAACTCTGTATTTTTATGTTTACTATATTAGACTTTCTACCGAGTACCGTTGTTTCCTTGACAAGCTGTTAGAGCATCTCTTGTTGCTGGCAAGAAGGCGGCCTTCAAGGCGCTCGATCCCCTTTGCTATTGCAGCAAAACTGTGTGTTCTTCACCGTAATGTTTGCTCTATTTTCTCTTGGATAAAGGCCTTTATTTTTTAACAAGTGCATTTAATCACTGTATGTATGTATAAATGGAGTCAAGTCCTATCTGTCTTAGCAATTTAAGAAGTAAGGTACTTAGGATAAGACTAAAGATTGTACATCATGGAGCCACCTTACAACTTCAGGATGTAGGACAGAGTGTATGCATCAAGAATTTTGACAACTGTTTTTAATATGGAAACTTTTACATTTCATTGTCTGTCTGCCGGTTTCACATTTTTTATTCATTTCTCTCGAAAAAGAAACAAAACCACAAAGTGTCTGAAACATCTTTTTTGCCTTGTTTGACTTTGTACAGAGTACTGAAAAAGAAGTCTTTATTACGTATAATGACCATTTGTGCTATTACATGTAATACTGTAGACATTGTACTATCACATAAGCCATTTGTATTTAAGGTCTGTCATTATAAACCACTGTTCTAAGGACTGAAAACTCAGTAGAAATTTTCTTAGGTGGAGACTTGACAGACTTGCTAAATCCAGGATATGTTGAAATTTAGTACACATACTTTAACGTAGGAATACATATTTGCAGCACTGGGTAACAGTGAGTTTTAATTTCATTTCCACCTTCAATCTCAAGTGGCTCTTTCTTTGTTGTGACTCTGCAGCGCTCGTTCTCCAATACGACTGAGATGGAGACTATCCAAATTAGCATTTTTCTGGAAGTGCTCTGCATGTGCGCTGCTTGAAAATTTAATTTTTATCCTACTGGGGTTAGTGTGCAGATGTAAACCAGATGACTTGCATATTGCAGGAATCCTTAGGTATTCTCATCGCTCTTCAGTGGGAGTAACTTTCGCCTTTTGGATGAAGAGACGTGCCTAAATGTTTAGCACTCACATTGTCCCTTGTGAATAATTTTTATTATAAACATTGCCCCATTCTCCACTCAAAGTGTTCTCATTAAAATATCCTATGTTTTAGTTACCAAAACCTCCAGGTGCAGAGCTGGTAATAACTGCTTCTCTGTGCATCTGTGTGACCGCGTGGTGGAAGAGGATGTAACTCTCTGTTACACCCGTGGCAGATCAGCATCCTGGATTAGGAGCAACAGATGTTCCTACCGCAAGACGCAAAGTTTTGTTCTGTGAGACTAAGCTAATTGCACTCCTGTTTTATCTGCTAATATCTCTGGAATAGCTCATTGGATGTATTACCTGAATCTCGCCAAAATTCTTTGCTTTTCAGCTGATAATGCTACCACTAGTAGAAAACTTCAGTAATTGTTAATGCCTTAGTGAAGCAAGCATTCGCTATGGAGTATGACACTAAAGCATCTGTCACTCCCGTGTTGTATCCATTCAGTGAATGGGTGTTCTCCCAGTAAGTGGGGGGTCATTTGATGCAAAGCGGTAACGCTAGGGATGTATTTCCAACTGGAAATAACAAATCTCAAAGTTGTAAGACTGATCACACTAAGACTTTTTGTGCTTGTGTGTGTGTGGTTAATTTAAAAAAAATAATTAAATATTCCACTTAAGACAATTTCGGAGCTCTCTTATTTTCAGTGTTTCTTAAGCAGCGCTTACCTTTTTGAGTCAAAATGCCTGAATGACCATACCGTCAGTCTGATTTCCTGTTCAGTTTTTTTATGCTGTAGCCCGATAATGGAGAGGAAAAAAAAAGACAGATTTTACTGAAGCATATCTGACGTGTAGTTTTCCTTCGCATCACTTGTGTAGATGTATGTTATACTAAAGGGAACTGAGCAGCTGAACACACTGTACTGCCTGGAGGCTGTGCAGGGGTAGATGCGTAATACTCAGTGAACATACACTTTGAACCTGTTAATTCATCTATTGAAGTTGATAGGTACCAGTTAAGAACAGAATTAATTATTTGCACTGTGGAACCCTCTTGTGGGAGTTCAGTCATACAGCAAACTAACAAACACGCTTTTTGGATTCTAGTGACGGTACCTAAGCCCCTGCCGCTTTTCTAACTGCAATCATAGACCTTGGGCTGAAGTTGCAGAACCTGAACACTGATTGTACATAAGCCAGAGAGCAGGCACGGTCCAACAAGCTTGATTTCATCGAAACTACCCTGCCGTCTTTTTGCAGGAAGCAACCGTTGCGCATATCTTCCTTTTTAATGCTCAGATAATACTGACAGAAGAAAGTACTTCTTTCTGTTAAATATGGCATCCAAACAGGTAATCAAAATTATAGAAGAAAAAATGCAGCAATGCTTAGGTTTAAGATGAAAGGTGCTATAATAGAATAAGAGAAACTTTCCAACAGTTCGTGTAGAAGAAGTGTTCTGTACAAGTCATCTCAAAGCCAGGTGAGTCCCAGTACTGAACTAGGCTCATTCTCAGGTTTCTAGTAGTAGGGTAATACTGATAAATAATTTGTGGAGTGAGTGTTCTTTCTTCTTTTCCTGAGGTAACTGTGGTCAGCAGAACCACCTAAAGTTGGTCAAAAAAAAGTAAAAATCTGGACCAGGAGAAATACCGTTCTCATTGCGAGGATAAAGACGCATCGTTACTGATAAATTACTTACTCTTACTTGCAAGTTCATGTGAATCTGAATGGTTAAAACAGATAATGTACATAACTCTCTTTATCACCGTCGTGATCTCAAGTAAATGTAATATATTTTTAGAAAAAAAAGTCGACATAACTTACAGTAAATCCTCAAGTGGAAAAATAAATGTTTAAAACTGAATGTTCTGTGTATGGCGTTCCTGTAAAATCCCTATGAGTTAATTCTGCTGTTCTCTTGTAAGTGACGTTAGTTGTATCATGCAGTTTAAACACGTTTATTTGATTACTGTTTGGTCTGATACAGGTCGCTACTTTTGTGGTTATATTAAATTGTCAGTGTGTTAAATTTCAAAAAAATTGCTATAACGCTGTAGCTGTGCAACCTGAATCTGCTCGAGAAACTCACGTGCCTGATTCCAGTCCGTGTGTTGCGAACACTTGGGATCCAAGGCAGCACGCATTAGATGATACCCTCAAAGGAACAAGCGTGGGCTCCCCAATCCAATAGAAATGCTGTTTCTGAGCTCTTGCCTCCGATCTCTCCACCACACGGTTCAAATACAAAATGCAGATTCTGTTCTGTTGTTCTCTTTCTGGCCATTTTATTTTTCATGATTGGTCTGGCTAATACAGTGACAAGGTTGAAGTGAATGTCTGTAGGCTTTGCAAGTGGCATTAAAATATTACTACTATATCAAAGATGCCTGATGCATTTTCTGAAGAGAAACAGGTAACTAGTCACTGATTTTTTTTTTTTTTGGTTAGTAAAACAGAACTCGCAGCATGTGGGTCTGCCTCTTTACCCAGGTATCTCAGGAATCTGGGAAGTAATATACTCCTGCTTCCTCTTGCATGCGGTTTTGCACACAGAAAAACAATTTGCTTGCTTAACACGCCCAAGAAGGATTAATTAGCAATGTTTCAGGCAAGAAAAAAATCTTGACGTGTGAGAAAACTCACGTTTTTGTAGTCATGTATTTTTAGGTCAGGGAAGTGCTTAACTACAATTAAGTGAAGCTCTTGAGAAAACTGAAGCTTTGACACTGGCTAGGTGGGGGTTTTATGTACTGTGCAGCTGCATCTTGTTCAGCTTCAGGAAGCTGGGTGGCCGTTTCATGTGGCTTCTGCTGCCGGCCCCCACGATAACCATGGCAGACACCCGGGTGCTTCTGGCATCTCTGAGAAAAATGTCTCATGCTCGCAAATGTCCCGTTCCCAAGACTGGGTTACGCTGAAAAGTGGAGCGGAGCCTTATTTCATTGCTCAGGAGATAACGGGACCAAAAGTTCATTGTTTTTTCTTACACCTTCTTTGTCCCAGCTGTCTTATCCCTGCTGAGCCCTGTCTACTGTTGATTTTTGACAACAGATAGCACTTAAAAAAAGTGAAAAACTTTAATCTGTTCTTTTGTTGATCTGTTACGTGTATGATGCCAGCTACTTTTAGCTATTATTTTGAGTTACTTTTAACGGTGCTACATGGTTGATAGCCAGCATGGAACTACAGTTTAAAAAAAAAAAAAAAAAGTGTATTTTCCTGTGTCTTACAGGTGGGACTGTGTGAAAGAAACTTTTAAGGACAGTATCGCTGGTTTTAAAGTTAGATTGTTCAGATCTGTGGGATCGTTGATGGATGTGGCACGTCTTAAAGCATAGGAGAGGGTAGTGATGGCTGTATCGCAGACCTCCTGTGGGTCAGGTGAGACAGGATTTAGGAAAGTGGAAGGCAAACAGAAGCAGGAATTTTAAAAATAAACCAGTAACTTAGGTCAAAATAAGTCAAATTTACATTATCAGTTACAAACGAGGTATCTGTCTGTCTCTTGAAAGTACAGTGATCTACTTACGCACAGTGCCAAATTATTAAAATTACAAATCGTAATGAGTAGGACAGTGTGTCATTTGTGAAAATACAATATACAGTTTATTAATGTTTTTGATTTATTGCCACGATTTGCCTTTTTTTCCCCAAAAGTCTAGTTTGCACAGTATGTATACAGCAGAGAAAAGCTGAAATCTCACTATATGACAAAACAACTTTAGTTTAAAAAAAACCCCAGGAGAATGGAGGAAAGGCTAGATTTTGACAGTTTCTGACAGTTCAGCAGAAGCACAATTACACTTTGCAATAGAGCAGTATCGACTCTACAGGAGAACTCCTGATAGCATTCTTACTGCCAAAAGAAAATGCCAACGCTACCAAAACCCACTAAATGCTCGCATCTCGCAATCAAAGATACTTTGGTGCGCGTGCATGCATATATATGCGCGTGCTTGGACAGAGAATTTTTTTTCTTAGCTTCTGTGTGCTTTTTATGGCGGTCTGCTCATCCTGCGATTTGCCAGAAGTAGCCAGGAGGGTAGTTTAATCCTGTTTGCTGTTGCAAGACTGTCGAACAGATGATTTCTGATGCTCCAACAATGTGATTGACTTTTCAGAATTTTCTATGTTTCTGAGCAGAGTCTCTAGCCGCCTTTTGATTTTCTTCTGATCCTCAATGGCACATCCGATTACCACAGACTGAAATTTCTGATCGATGGGTCCTGCTGGCACGTCAGATGTGCACGCACCGTAAAGCGACATTAAGCGGATTTTGGCGTCTTCCAAATCATCTAGAAGTTTATTGACAATTTCATCGATCATCTTCGTGGCATGCAGTAGG